TCGTAAATGCCTGCGTGGAAGCGGGCTGACCCGTGCGGGTGATTTTCGGGAAACGACACGGTCGCGAGCGCGTTAGGTTGACGCGATAATTCTCCAGTATGTCGAGCACCAGCTAAGACGTCCTACGTTCCTTTAAGTGAGTCTCGCGATCGACACCCTAAGATGAGCGATAGATGTCGCTGCCAACTGAGCGCTGCGACGCGACCGCACGCGGCAGTGGTTGGAGGAAATTTTTGTCATGTGCGGCTGCGAATGAATGAATGCCTGCTTACTTACTTGTAATGCTTGCTCTTGACTCGTATCACTCCCGATAATCAAGGAGATATGTGACCTGCCGCCGCCAGCGTCAATATTCACGCGCTGAGCGTCTTGTCTGACTTCTGCTGGTTTGTTGGGGTCGGATAAGGCTCTTCGCTATAATAGACAGTGGTAATAGAAAAGTGTTGCCCTTTCACTTAATCGGAATCGGCGTCATTTTTGGCGGCCAAGAGGACTTACAGCAGGCATTTGTCCATGCCCTTGTTGCAGTTTCTCAGTGTATCGGCGAAGAATATCCTTCACATCGGGTGCCATTGCCACTGACGGCTCTTGCAACTTAGACGCGTTGAGAGCGTTCTGAAATGTTTTTGAAAGCCCACGGAATCCTGGCTTTCTGCCTAGTGATTGGTTTCAGGTACCGGTCATAAATACTGGTATAGCGGGTGGGTGATTATAAGGTGCGCTTCAGAAGTACAAGGGTACGCCTAGTCCGAGTTAGGGTGGAGGATTTGAGCTTGCTAGCTACTTTATGAAATTCACCATGCACTAAAACCATAGTTCACTCAATTTTAGAGTTCAATATGAGCCAACCTTCCCCCTTCTCTCCCCCCACTGTTTCAAAAGGATAAAGGAGCCATGGGCAAGAGGGTTTAAGAGTGAAATGTGCTCTCCCTTACAGTCCATTTGCGATCACTGCATTGGTGCACTTAGCATCGCCATACACAGGGGAGGGGGAATCCTGCGGTGAAGCTGAGCCTGAACCCTTTCTTTGAATACTTCTCGAATGCTCTTTGTTTTGATTGGAATTCAGCCTTGTACGTAGTAATCGCGGAATCCTCACCTCCATCGCTGTGACTGCATCTGGTTCAACTGGTCGCTCAATAATCATATTCACTTCCCCAGTAGCTTTTAAAGATTTCACTATCAACGTTCTGCATACATCTTTGTCGCCGCTGACCAGTGCTTAGACACACAACACACTTCGTCACCACACAACAACTTCACGCCTGTCCCACGAATAACTTCTTCTGCCTCATCAGAGTACATCCCAGAAACCAGTAACAGACTCCTTCGGACCCAGTGAAACCAGTAAGGCATGGTCTGGAACCTCACGGAAACTACTGCTACAGAAACCATCCTCCTTAGTTCACCCCCTGAAATTGCCGTCCAGATAAAAGCAACGGCCCGCCTGCATGACAACTCCACTCCAATTCCTTCACTAACCGATGAGCAATTCCTTAATTAAACCCCTCCTCAAGCACAAGAATGTATAAGCCTGATAGTACAGCCTCGGATGTCTAAGCGTTTCACTGATATGACGGGGCTACAACGGCGAGCATCTCTGTTGATACGCTTGAACACGAGACTTCATAGAGCTGTTTAAGGCTAACGATTTGAGGCGCACCCACTTATATATTATAGGTTCAGATCGCCGAGGATAGTGTTAATCGCTCGCTCAACGGGGCAGGCGAAGTCATGATCTCACTGTGTATCACCTGTCGTCCCGTTGATCATCGAATTGCTCGAGCGGGCGCCAGCAACGTCTCCATTCGTCCCTGTCGCGTGCAAGAGTTGTCCAGTGGATCCTCGCTCGAGGGACACGATGTCCTTCATTCCTTTCGTTCAGAGCTTTCGTGAAGAAGTCTGACCATCGGGCCGGCGGTCGTCCAGGTGTTCGTTTGACGTCCCGAGGGATCCAGTCGGTAACCGCTCTGGTCCAACGGTCATCGCAAAATCGCATGACGTGTCCGGCCCACCTTATCTTCGATTCCTTGGCGAAAACGGCAGCGTCCCTGATCTTCGATCGTTGGCGTAGTTCGGCACTCCGGATTCCCCTCTGCACTTGCGTGTATAGGGTTACTCCTAGCATCGTCCTCTCGACAGCGCGTTGGATAACGCTGACCGCATGCTCGTCCTGCCTGCGCAGAGTCCAAGTCTCTGAGGCGTAGGTTAGGGCAGGAAGGACAGCGGAATCGAAGAGGTGGGCACGGAGCCGGATGTTCTTCGTCTTCTTCACTACTCCCTCGATGTTCTTGTACGCTCCCCAAGCCGCTCGTTTCCTCCTGCTCAGCTCTGGAGCTAGATCGTTCATCATATTGATTTCCCGACCTAGGTACACGTAGCTGGAGCATTCGGTGATGTTCGTTCCGTTGAGCGTGAATGGGGCATCAGGAACCAATCCGTTTCTCATAAACATCGTCTTCGTTAGGTTCAGCTGTAGACCAACCTTACCACAGGCGCAGTCGAAATCAGCCAGCATTCGCTCCGCTTGCTCGATGTTCGGCGTTATAAGAACGATGTCGTCAGCAAAACGAAGGTGGTGTAGTTGCCGGCCGTCGACCTTCACTCCCATGTCTTCCCATTCCAGTTGACGCATGACGTTCTCGAGAGCGGCGCTGAAGAGTTTGGGCGAGATGGTGTCGCCCTGTCGAACCCCTCTCTTGACGTCGATGATGACCTCCTTGTAGAATGGTGAGATTCTGGTCGTAAAGTTGCTGTAGAGCTCACGAAGAATCTTGATGTACTGAGTAGGGACGCCCTGGTTGCCCAAGGCTTCGATGACCGCTTCTGTCTCCACAGAGTCGAAGGCCTTCTTCAAGTCGATGAACGTGAGACAAAGCGGCATCTTGTACTCTCGTGAAACTTCAATGAGTCTTGTAACCGTGTGGATATGGTCGATCGTGCTGAACCCTCTTCGGAACCCTGCTTGCTCGCATGGCTGTCCTTCATCTAGTATTCTGCCGATCCTGTTAAGGATGACTCGAGTGAATAGCTTGTAGATTACAGACAGCAGGCAGATTGGGCGATAGTTGCCAATGTCGTCCAGTCTCCCTTCTTGTACAGCAACACGGTCCTGCTGGTTTTCCACGGAGTGGGTACCTTGCATTCCGACAGGTAGCGCGTGAAGAGTCGAGCCAGAGTTTTGATGATGACTGGCGGCGCATTCTTCAGATGTTCCGGTTTGACCCTGTCGAGACCGGGTGCTGTACATTCTTCACACCACTCGTAAAACCTTCGTATAGCGACCCCCCTGATTGCAATACCCAGCCTCCGCACGCACCTCATCCGGAACGAAGAGATAACTCCACCAGAGACCCAAGCAACACGACAACACACCCCCCACACCAACCAAACCCACCCAGTTCCCATACACCCCCATCCTCTTGCAGTTGATAAGTGGGCAGATGGACATGGCTATCGAAGAGATCCGAGTAGAAGTCGTGGATGACTTTCTCCATTGCCCTTCGGGATGCAGTAACTGTTCCATCCGGACGTCGGAGGCAGGTCATCTTGGTCTTGTAGCTGGCAAAGCTTCGGCGGGCATTGCGGATGCTCCTCCCAGCCTCTGCTGCTTCAGCTAATACTGCTGCTCTTCGCTCCTTGAGATCTTCCTTTATCGCCTCTCTGCATAGCTTCGCAAGCTCGGACGTGAGTTGGTGATTGCCTGCAGCTCGTGCGGCTCCACGTTGGCGTATCAGCTCGAGAGTTTCCGTAGACAGACGTCCTTTGGTGACTTGTAAACTCTCTGCCTTCCTGCCACTCTCGTGAAGGTGTTCAACGAGCCGATGATATTCCTCGTCGATGTTCTCGATAACGGAATCCTCCCATAAGCTGACAAGGGAAGCGAAGTGGTCCCAGTTGATGACTGTCCTGGGGCTTCGCTTCCTGAACTTTGCTGCTCTCTCAACACGCATCGAGAAGTTGGAATCTTGCGCGGAGGAGACGATGGTCCGATCCCGTGTAGAACTTTGGAACAACAGCGACGTCGGTCAGGCAAAACCTTCGATTGAAGATGATGTGGTCTATCTCGTTATGGAACTGTCCATCAGGTGACTCCCAAGTCCAACGAAGGTGAGGGGGCTTTTGGAACTGTGAGTTACCATGGATGGTGTTGGTCGACATGATAAACTCCGACAGTCTCTCACCCTGCTCATTCCATTCCATTCCGTGAGTACCGATGTGAAGTTCTTCAGCCGTTCTTCTTGGGCCAATCTTAGCGTTGAAGTCGCCGACGATGACCTTGAAGAAGGTATGATCTTCCCTGTAGAACTTCTCCAATTCCATATAGAATGCTTCGTGTTCTTCTTCGTCGTAGCTGGATGTTGGTGCGTAGGCGACGAAGATTGTCAAAGCAGGAGTTGAACCACATCTTCTCAATCTCAAACGTCCGATTCGGGTTGTAAGGCTTTCGTACGAATCGATGTTTATGGCCAAGTGCGTGTTGACGAGGACACCCACACCGCCAACGCCTCTGCTGTCGCATGTTCCAAGGAACAGTTCTTCTCCAGTATCGAAAACGGCGTGTAGCGGGCGGTGCCTTCTCGTCTCGGTCAGTCCGATGACGTCGTACTTGATCTTCCTGGCCTGCATCATCAGATCTTCGATGTGAGCTTCGGATGCAAGCGTTCGTGCGTTGAAAGTACAGATCGCCATCTTAGTCCTTCTTCGTTTAGGCAGCCTATCCGGGCCCTGAGATTCTAGCAGCCTCTCCCGAGCGGTCCTACCCAACGCTGCCGTATTGGGGCTCCCTCAGGTTCAGGGGAATGAGGCCCATCCATATTGCTGTTTTCGGCATATTGAAGGCACACGAGTAGCTTGCCAGGCTCTGTCGTGCGGGCTAGGATAGACCTCCAGGTAGTTAGCCACGCTATCCTGGAGCGGAACAAGGGGCTTATTTCTTGGAGGCGGCCCCGAATCGCCTCCCATGTACTTCCCAGTCACTTGAATGCAAGCTTTTGGCTGTGCCGACATGCAGGATACCAACCGCACACACACAGAGCGCACCACACACGCAAGCATGCATGGATGCGCCTGAGTGGAGACAGCTGGTATGAATCAACACAGCGCTACAGAAACAGGGAGTCCATCCCCTGAATCCACCTGCGTCTCAGGGCAAGTACATGGTGGCTTTTGGTCCGCGATTTACCCCCTATCCGCCACCTGGGGTCGCGCCACGTAGCCTCGCCACCAACCGGCTCGAGATCTTTCAGTGAGAGAGGACCCTCAGTGAAAGAGATCCGTGGAGTCATATCTCGCCGTTAAATGATGTGACAGCTGGGTGAGGCACTGGTTGCGTTATATTACAGCAATAGGGTGGATCTAAACCTTCAGTAATCTCTTTAAGGTGCAGAGTCTCATGAGTTTATTGGAAAAATTCATGACGTCAAACCGGCTCCAGGTGGCCTCTCCGTCAAAGCCAAATTTCTTCGTGACTAGGACACCCACTTACCGTGACAATCCTTCGCGTAAGATCGACATGAACCTAGCTTGCTCCTGTCGGTAGCCGTGTCGGTTTCGAAGTCCTCGAAATGATGTCAGACGTATCCCTTAGATGGAGCTGTTCGTTGTGATAGAAGGAAAGGATATAGACGGTAAATGTGCAGAAATGATTGGCATATGAGAGGTGAGGAATTGTATTGGATTTAGCAATACCCAAAGACGCGCTCTGGAGAGTATAGTCTTCGTGCCTAAGCTCGCTCTATTTAAGTCCTTCTACGGTGTTCAGGCTGAGTTGAGAACTGACCCATAGCCGATCATTTTCTCAAAATATAATAGAACTCAAGGTTCTGTCGGTGTACCTAGGTCTTCTTTCAAAGTTCCATGGAAGTTCGAAGCATCTCTTTGTCAGAAGAAGAGAGATGGGCTCTTCAATTTTTCTTGCATTCACATCAACAACCGGGTTGAAAAAGGGTCGATCTGTGAAGTAGTTGTGCATATACAAACAAAACTGCTGAAGGTAAGGTAAATAATTCACAGAAACAATAAAAATTTGAAAAGATTTTCGTCTCCCTACTCCTGGGAAAAGCACAGCATATGGTTCCAGGATCAGTCGTAGTCTATAGTATTCGACATGGTTCATTGCCTACATGCAGCGTTTTTGTAAATTTT